GCTGAAGTCGTTTCGAGTAATCCGTGTAAATCATTAGCGTAATCTTGATCAAAAGTTAATAATATAATCTAGATTTTTATTTTCAAAAAAAAAAAAATATGAAAGGAAAGTTAAGAATATAAATGAAGCATTAAATATTTACATATTTCCTTAATGAAACAAAATATCAATTATGAACATATTTCATGGCCTACTTGAATACTTTTATCCACACTGGGTTGTACCTACCAAAAAGAATTTTATATTGAAAATCATTATGGAAAATATGAAAATATTTGTACAGCTGATGTGTACTGTTACATAAAAACGTTGAGATTTAACCTGTTGATAGACATTTAGACAGTGAAAATACTAATTGATTGTTTTTTAAAATGAATTTAACTAGGCAATTAATCAATTAATAAAGTTCCTTTTTTTAAATTCCAATCATTTATAATATATAATTAGGTTAAATTAATTAATGAATCAAGTTGTTAATTTATTTAATTTCTAAGGTATTTGTTTTGGTTTGTTTTCCTTTTATGTTTATATATAAATTTGAAATTCAGTATTCATGCATTGAACATTATTATTTTCCAGTTCCTTAGGTTTGTTGTAATTTTTTTTTTTTGGTTCTGTTTTATTTGGGGGAGTTTTTGTTTATTAATTTTTTTATGTGCATGTAATAGAAAAAATTATACTCATTGATATTAGAAAGCAATATGTATCCATTAGAATGAAATTATTAGAATCCATGAGGTCTATGAAATAAAAAAAGTTTCATAAAAATTAATAAAATGTGCATAATTGCATATGTAAACACTTGTAAAGTGGGTATTATGAGAAGGTGAAAACTATGAGAATATGGTGAAAATATTATTTACACATCAGCTAGCTGTGTTGTTATGTACTGGGATAGAGAGGCACCCCTGTGTGTGTACATGCACTATATACACAGCTGTTGACACATGGTCAAGTTGACAATAAACTCCTTTTGTTCAAACACCTGTTCTCAGCTAGTCTGACCAACCCCCCTCTGGCAGGGCATATGTGTATATACACTGATCATTAACTATGCTCAATTGTTCTTGACTTTCATTATCAAATTGTAAAATAAATGATTTTGTAATATGATCTTTTTTTTTTTAAATACTGGTGATATGAACTGGTAATATGCTTTAAATACAAATTTTCATTTTAAGGACGTTAGCACACACATAAGGAAAATATGAATTTTGATAATTTTGATACTAATAATAATGATAAATTAATAAAGACCTTTTAAATTAGTAATACCTGAAAAATATTCATAGTTTCCTTATGTTCCCAGCTCTAGCCACGTGGAGGCCTCCTTAATTGTAGAGCCATGATTTGAATTTTGACACAGAAAAATATTAAAGCCAAAGGACTGAAAGATGACTGAAAGATAAAAGAAAATAAAAAATTTAAAAAAAACTTAAAGATACTTTATCATTATTCCTAGTCAATCTTTTGTTCATGTATAAACATATTACAGCCAAATGAAAGTAATTGACATAAAATTATATATTATAACAAATTTCCGAGAAAGTAATTTATAATTTAATTAGCAACATTTAAAAAAAAAAAATTTGTTCCTAACCTAACCTAACACAACACAACACCAAACAGTATTCACAGTTGAATTTAATCCAACAAAAGTGTTTCAATCTGCAAGTGGGAGAAAAAGACATAAATTCATCATCTGTGTCAGATATAGTGTTAGGAATCCAAAACATTATTGAAAAACTGTTAAGAAATGATTCGTTTCAAAAAATATTTATTGGAAGTCTGTTTAGGCAAATGATTTGTGGAACCATGGATCCAGGAAAAAAACAATTCTATTCTACTGTTTTTGACATAAATAACACACTACGAAGGAAATATGGAAATTCTCAGAATGTGATATTTTAGAGATGTAGGGGTCTAATGAATTCAAATAAAAACATTTGGCGTGACAATGGGATTAGTTTGAACAGAGAGGCAATGGAAGTTTTTAGTCGACAGATTCAACTGGCAATGAAATGTAAAATTACATAAAATACCTATGCTTGGAGATGATAAAAGATTTTCAGTTCACTTTCAACCAGTCCAGACTGAGATTTTTTCATTGTTAAAATTCAGTCAAAACTGTTATTTTATTTTGTGGTGTGTGTTTTTTTTTTTTTAACTTTTTTTTTTTTATTCATTGTGTTAATTTAAAGACAATTCAAAATGTAAACAACTGATGGAAAATATTTAAAACATCTGATTTTTTTTTCTAAGAAAAGAACATAAAAAGGTTAGTTTTTTTGGTTCTCTTTGAAACATATAATTAGTAATTATTAATTAATTAATTATCATTACAATTTTTTATTATTATTGTTGCTTTGAAGCTTTTGGATATGTTTATATCTCTGAATTCAGAATTTCTCTAAAATCTCAAAAATAAAAAAAATTCTTAAATTATGGCTCTACAAAAAGACCTCCAAGTGGCTAGAGCTGGTAACATTGGGATAATATGAATAATTGATACACAAATTCATATTATCTTCATGGCTAACGTCCTTAATTTTTTTTTAAATATGTATTACATAATATTTGATATATATCTAGCATAACAAACATATTTAAATTAAAATGAATTATTTTAACTTTATCTATACGATGATAAACAGCAGCTCGCTTCGAAATTAGATCGGGCGTGGTGTACGGTAAACCAGTAATGGCGCCCGATTTCTGTCGACTCTGAGGTAAAATTGGCTATAAAAATTTACGGATATCAATATCATTCATTTAAACATTGCCTTAGGGTTTTATGTACCCCATTTCATTCAATTTTATGGGGCTTCTACCACTTTATTGGGGCTTCTCCCCTTCTGTATGGGTATTCTCCAAAAAACGGGGGGCTTCTGGAATTTCCAGTCACCCTCTTTAAACGTTGATATTAAGTTTCTGCAAAAGAGCAAATTACGAAATTAGTATATTCTCATTGTTTCATGTTTCGTTTATTTGAGGCACGTGGAGGGATCTTATTCTCTGTTAGAATTATTCTCTGAACTTTGATTGTTACAAAATTGCATCTAGTAGTTTGGGAGTAATTTACATTGCATATGACAAAATATTCAGTTTTCATATCACGAGAGTTCCATTGGCCATCCGTGCAAGTAAATAATTAGTTCAGACCATAAGGATTAAATGTCTAGTGGTACCGTAATAATTAGGGCTGTGTATTGAGCCAAAAATTTCGATACGATACGATACAATATTTTTTAAAGCGATATGCGATATACTGGATTCTAAGACAAGTCCATCAGAGAGGGCTTGTTAATCATTTTAATGCATAAATTTCATAACAATTAAGTGTTTTATTACCCATTTTGAAGTTTTTGTCTCATTGTCTTTACAAATAACACTTCAAACTAAAACTTTTCATGACAGTAAAAGCAACATGTTCAAATAATTTTCTCTTTGTATTTTGTTATAATTATAAAAACTGTGTTATTTCCTTACAAATTATATCATTACTGAACAGTTTTAATTCAAAAAAGTAAAATATAATCTTTGGTGATTGAAATTCCCATCTTTTAAACAGAATTAGAAGAAAAACTGTCTGTCCGATATGTATTGGAAGTTATTTTTCGATACGATATTTTTCTTGAATATCGATACGTATCGATATATCGATATATTGATACAGCCCTAGTAATAATACGATGAGAGAAACTCACCCCTTTAAGGCCGTCCGCTATTCATTGTTAACTCTCAGCTGGTTATCCGTTCAAGAAAGCTAAAGAAGCTGATGTCCTATCAAAATTCATCTAAGAATTCTAGTCCTTGTTGCAAAACTGCCTTGCATATTTGACACAATTTTAATGGAAATAAGAGAACGGTCATTTATTAGCACACGGTGTAATTGGGTTAAAAATGGCATTAAACATGATGTGGATTTCGACCAATTCTGTATGCGTGTAAGTCGAAAGGGACATTATCAAGTGGGTGGAGTTATCTTACTTCAGTGAGAGGTGACTTCAATTATGCAAATTTCAAAACCTTTTGCAGAAGCGAAGGCAAAATTTGTACAAAAGGACATCTTTGAAGGGTGGTGGTGGGTAAATTCCTCCGCTGTATAAGAACAGATTTTGTGCTTTCTTGAGGGGAAATCTGAATTGCTGAACAAAAATGCCTCTTGTATTGCACTGCAGTGTCTTGCAATGTTCCTAAATGGAAGTTCTCTAGGAATTTCCCCAACATCAGTCTTTTACTACACAACGATAAAGTCAGTGTGTCTTGGTTTTTCATCACACGATGAATCGTGGATTTGTTGTCCTGGAAAAGAGTTTTGAACAAAAGCGCCCAGTGCAAAACAGTGCAAATAAAGAAATAAACCTCAAATTTTAAATGCAATCGACCTTGTTTGACCAATTAATCAAAATCAGTTTTCCCTAAACAACAGATGTCTTATTGAAAATATGAGTTATGCTGGTTGATTCCTGATTTGGAAATGAGCTATCTAACACAAACTGCCAAATATTGTGAAAAGATGACTAAAACATTCGATATTGTAATATTTCGGCTGCATCCTTCATATAAATCATGCACTGTTTTTACTTAAGGTTTACGCAAATTGGTAAAGGCCGGTATCTCCAGATCCTAAGTCTATCTTGTCAATGGTTACTAAAACTGTCCATCTAAGGTAAACCAAGGTTATTTAAATACATTCAGCACAATCTACTGTAAACCTCATGTAGATATTGAGTTAAACTATTTGATTAATAAATTCAGTTTCATACAAGGAGAGAGAGAGAGAGATTGCACCAAAAAAACTGAACTCCATCGAGTAGATGGATTAAATACACACTAAAAAGATGATAATGATAGTTATTAAAAAGTATGGTAATACACGGACATTACAAGGTCTCTGCCCGTTCCATGTGATTTCTGCCGACATTTTACGGGATTCTATAAAGAATTTTGCGATCGCCTGCCAGTAAGAATTTTCTTCATCAATTCGATTGGGCTATCATTGCAGATTCCTTATGGCAAGAAGAACGCGATTTTTGAGGCGATGAATAATTATTGTGAGGCTTTATGGTTTATATTCATCTGGATTAATTATGTTCATGGTAAGTAAATTAAATCTGTTCCGTTTTCAGGTAGTATCTCTACAATGTTATTTATTTTGACTGACTTTGAGATAAAGCACAAACCAAACAGAGAACTTTTAGAAAAAAAATCTTAATGGATTCAGTTCTGCTTTATTTTGCGTGTACAATGTATTCGTAGTGTTTAGTTGTTTATTTGTTAATTTTATTATCATTATTGAATTTTCATTTTTTAAAATTTTCTTTATATACCCCCCTTAATTTTTGGTAAGGCGGTAGCTTTTTAAGTGAAAGTTTCAATAAAGATTGTCGATATTTTTCCGAAATATGATTTTTCGATCTTATTGCTTTATGATTTATCTTTGAAAAATTCTGACTTGAAAGATAATAATTTCAGCTAAAAATGAACTAGATTTAACTTTTGCATATATAAATTCAAGCGAGGAGGAAATTTTTCGTTTCCCAAGCAAAGAAATTCCGGTTTCAATAATAGCATTATGGTATCAACATGTCGGTACCACAACATGTATCGCGGCAGGAATCGCCACTGACGAGGAACACGTACCTCTAACAATCCTATTAAGCCGGTTTATGTCTGCCAGATTTCCAAGCTTTCATCAATTAGTTGCAAAATTTTCCAATATTTCACCTAAAAGTTCGCTTAAATATTTTATTGAAAGATTAATAAGTGCATTGAAACAAGACGGATTGTTCGGGTTATCTTGGAAGGACTCCGGAGTTTCTTATCCTGATTTTTTGGATTTATTGTTTGTTTTGATTTTTAAATTTTGTTTGCTGTTGTTTTTTGTCATTTTTTTTCTTTTGTTTCTGAAACATTTGATCTGATTTTTATACTAGTATATCAGCAAAGAAAAAAGAAGCGGAAAAACATAACCATAACTGTTCGTCTCTCTACCCTTCTCTCTATCTCTCTCAGAACAATAACCTTGGAATCAGATTTTTATTTTGTATTCACTTCTCCCCCCAAGATCAATCTGTTTACCGATGTAAATAACCTTCTGAGGACCCCTGGTCCTTTTTCCTTCCAAAGTTATTACATGCCCGGCCAACAATTAATTGGAAAAGCAAAATTACTCCTGACTGGCGATTCCTATAATAAGTACAGAGGTTCGATACTATTGAGAAAGGAAGGTTCAGAACCCCTTTCAATATTTGTTAAGCATGGACGAGAGATCTAGAACGATTAACATATTTCTTATTTCTTCTGAAAATTATCTCCACTGACTTCTAGAAGACTTGTAAAGCGATAACACTGTCAAGATGAATCGCGTGTTTAGCATTTATTCTGCAATGCAAAAAATTTAAACATAATTCTCTGATCTAGAATGCAGAAATAATCTAGAGAAAATATGCTATCAGAAACAAATTAAAATGAATTCTGTCTAATTAACTTGAAATGCTACAGTTATTAGAATATATCGATGGGTTTCTTGGGAAAAAATTACATAAAAACTTTTGTTATTGTCTATGTAAAAGTGTAACATGAGAAACAAAGTGAAACAGACTTTTTTTTAAAAATGTTGTAAGATTTTTTTTCATTTTTCGTATTTATAATACGAAAGGCTAACTCAAATAAAAAAACCATTCTGGCCGTTCCAATTTCCAAAAAAGTCTAAATTTTAATGAAACGTGTCTGATTAACAAATAGAAGGCAAATTCTGGAAAAAAAAACAGCTTCAATTTAGTCATTTGCACAAAAAGAATTCTTTATATACTATCTAGGGGAGAGTGTTGTTGGCTTCCCAGAAAAACGTCTACTGCGGGAATTATTTCGGGAATACAACTCAATGACGAGGCCTGTCCAAAACTATAGCGATGTCGTCACCGTAAACTTCGGCATTTCACTCAACCAGATCCTAGACTTGGTAAGTTCTCTAACCCTCCGGCATATCACTCCATCAGTTCCTAGACGTTGTATGTTCTCTAACCCTCCAGCATATCACTCCATCAGTTCCTAGACTTGGTAAGTTCTCTAACCCTCCATCATATCACTCCATCAGTTCCTAGACTTGGTAAGTTCTCTAACCCTCCGTCATATCACTCCATCAGATCCTAGACTTGGTAAGTTCTCTAACAATTGGTATATCACTTGATCAGATCCTAGACATGATAAGTTGTCCAACAGTCAGCATATATGATATAACTCAATCGGATTCTAGACTTAGTAAGTTCTCCAACCATCGGCATTTCATTGGATCAGACTTGATAAGTTCTCCAACAATCGGCATATCACTAAATCAGATTCTGGACTTGGTAAGTTCTCAGTTAGTGGGCATAGTACTCAATCAGTTCCAATACTTGGTAAGTTCTCAATTAGTGGGCATAGTACTCAATCAGTTCCAATACTTGGTAAGTTCTCTAATAGTGGGCATAGTACTCAATCAGTTCCAATACTTGGTAAGTTCTCAATTAGTGGGCATAGTACTCAATCAGTTCCAATACTTGGTAAGTTCTCTAATAGTGGGCATAGTACTCGATCAGTTCCAATACTTGGTAAGTTCTCTAATAGTGGGCATAGTACTCAATCAGTTCCAATACTTGGTAAGTTCTCCAATAGTGGGCATAGTACTCAATCAGTTCCAATACTTGGTAAGTTCTCCAATAGTGGGCATAGTACTCAACCAGTTCCGATACTTGGTAAGTTCTCTAATAGTGGGCATATTATTAATCAATCAGTTCCTAGACTTGCCAAATTTTCCAGAAATCGGCATATCTTTTTATCAGTCCTAGATTTGGTAATTTCTCAAATAGTGGGTATATTAATCAATTGTAAGTTCGCCAACAATTATCGGCATATAATTAATTATACGGCAGGATGTTCACTCAACTTTTTCCCACTCTTGCTCGCTAAAATGACAGAACTATGAAAAACAAATCCGACTGACAGTGGCGATCGTCTTAAACTAACAAAAAGCGCAAAAAATGTTGCAATTCAAATACATCTACCAATAAATTATTCTCATTACATAAAGTTTTGATTGATGATTTTAATGAAGTACATTTGTTATCTCTTTTAGGATGAGAAGAAGCAGATAATTACCACATCTGTCTGGGTAAAAGAAGTGAGTAGCGGTTTTATTCCAGTGTGTAAAAATGGGGAAAACAAAAATACAAAGCTAAACTGAGCAAAAATAAATAAATAAATATTTAAAATATCAAAATTTTAAAAATAGATTCATAAGATACCGGGTATGTTCCTTTCTTGTACCAGAAGTAAAATTCTACCACTTTATTATTCTTCAAAAATTGCTTCTTACATAATTTACGATATTTTATTCATAAATTGACCTCATATACGGTACTGGAAATATCATTTCATAAAACTTTTTGTTCCCCATGATTCTAACATGTCACAGACTTGGTATGACGAATCTTTGACATGGGAACCGGAGAAGTATGATAATACACGGCGCTTGATTATGTCATCCACAGAACTATGGTTACCGGACGTTTTCATCTTCAACACGTAAGTCGATCAATGCCGCATAATAAATAGTTTGGCTTAAAGTGATTATGTCCATTTTGTTAGAATATTTTTGTACTCTTGAAGGGCTGGTGGACATGCGGAAGGATTTGTGAACGTAACCGGAAGCAAACTTCTTATAGAGAGTTCCGGTATGGTCACGTGGACAGTTCCCTTGATGATAAAGAGTTCCTGTCCTGTGGATGTGACGTATTTTCCATATGATCAGCAGACTTGTGAAATCCATTTTGGGTCTTGGATTTATGACGTCACTAAAGTGGACCTACAACTTCTGGCCAAAAAACCAAACCTGCAGCAATACATACTGAATAATGAATTTGATCTCCTGGGAGTGAATTTATATAGAACTATGGTAATAACACGATTAATTTTATCATATACTTAGTAGTAAATACACCGATTCTGCACGGTGCGATAAGGGTGACGTCACAATACCCCATATCAAGGACCGGTCCGAAAATCCATATTACGTATCGGACCGGTGGTCCATATCAAACCGGAAGTAACGTTTGTATGAAGTTTAAAAGTTGAATTACTTGATTTTATTTAAATACAGTATTCATGTAAGACAATTCTTTAATGACCTTTGTGGGCTTAATTTTTTTCATTAACCTAAAATTGGCTCTATAAGATTTTAATCCATATTATATGTCTCATCGTGATATGGGGCCACTCGGACTGATATGACATAAGATACGGATTTCAGTATGTAATATTCTTTGTGTATCTCCTCATGGCATTATATTACAAATGTTATCATTTTGTTTACTAGATTCTTTATGCTACTTGACACTCTATGATAGCTATAGTGATATGGTATCTTTTAGCAATAAATCAATGGTTCCATTCTTTGTCAGCTGTTCCAAGAATCTGTATGTGGCACGTGATGATTTTTACCTTCAGAACTTATTGTAAGAATTTTTACATTTAAAAAAAAAATTACCAAGGTATTTATTTCAAAGAACCCTGATTTACATTATTCTATTCATCTGCATCACTTTAAAATTTTCTCCATTGAGAGTAAAACGAGTAAGGGTTTTGGGATAGAAAGAAATTCCTCCAAAGCAATAAATATTTATTTACTTTGAACAATGCTTACCGTATAAGTAGAATTATTAGCGAGGATTTAATTTTGGCATTATTAGCGAGGGTGCTGACATCGCTAAAGTTTAATATCGCTAAAAATTAATTGCGTATTATTATTTGTAATAGCTTCTATAGTTAGATTTTAAAAATCGCTAAAATTACTTCTCTCCCTGTCTGATACTATTTTATGTTGAAATTTAACCTTCAATTTTTGAACAATCTCGCTAAAATGTCCACTTATACATATTTGGTTCAAGGATGATCATGTAATTAAGCTCTATATGACACCAAGGTCAATGACGCGACCTTGAACTTTGACCTATATGACTAAAAATAGCTTCTGATGAAGGAACTTTAACCTTACGCCATAACTTTATGATATTTGGCAAGTTGGTGTATCGTTACCTTGTGAAGTTAAACTCATGTGTTAATGACCTTGTGACTTTGACTGTGACCTTATGCAAAAAATAGCTTTTCACCTGATAATTTGTTGCCTTTCGTTTACATATTTTTCACAAACACATCTTGTTTCATGATAAAATGCATTTTATATTTATTTTAAAGGTGGACGAAAAATGTTGCCCTGGAACAGGTTCTCACCCAATCATCCATTTTCAAATGACCATCAAAAGGAAATCCATTTATTATGACTATATTGTGATAGCTCCTACAATCATGCTTTGTATTTTGACCCTGGCTTCTTTCTGGTTGCCGTGTCACCATGGAGAAAAGATAGCCATAGGTCTGACTGTGTTCCTCACTCTTTATGTACTACAGCTTCTGATTGCCGAGAACGTACCGGACACAAATACAACACCCGTTCTAGGTAGGTACCACACACGAATACAACACCCGTTTTAGGAAGGTACCAGACACAAATAAAAAACCCGTTCTACGTAGGTACCACACAACACCCATATTCTAGTTAGATACCGGAATACAAATACAACACCCGTTCTAGGTAGATACCAGAATACAAATACAACACCCGTTCTGGGTAGGTACCAAACACAATAATACAACACTAATTCTAGTTAGATACCGGAATACAAATACAACACCCATTCTAGTTAGATACCGGAATACAAATACAACACCCGTTCTGGGTAGGTACCAGACACAATTATAACACCAAAAACGGACAACATTACTCAGTCATAAGCATAAAACCAAGGTGCCAGAAAAAGAGCGAAACGGTGGCATCAAATTTACACCGAAGATTGTGCTTAGAAAGTGACAAATTGGGAATTTTGGACCTCCAATAACTGGCTAATGACATGTAATTGACACATCGCCCTCGTGTCAGTGATATACCCTGATTGGGAGTCCTAGAAGGTGCAAAAAAGTTAGCAAAAATCCTCTCTCCCTCTAAAAATATTAACGACTAAACATGCGGAAATGTACAAAAGTCTTGAAAACCTTGACGTTGCGGAGGAGGTCTCAGTGAGAGCTTTTCAAGTGCTGCTCAGAAAACTGGTCATACTCGGAGACGAGGTAAAATTGCATGGGCTTATAACTTTTTGGTGCTGTAACTGTAGAAGGATGAGAGAAAGTGGCCCTAAACTCGTACGTAAAAGATGAAGAAGACTTCCATTACATGTGAAGGTTCACATAGGCCTTGAATCTCACCTGATCCTTCTAGGGTGAAATGACAAAAAACTGCTAGAAGGGGTATTTGACGGCAAATGTGCTGTAACGCCGGATCTTTCAGTTTTCATGCGATTTTCAAACTTTTGGGTTCATTGGAAAGAACTTCGTTGTAAAGGTTAAAAACGGGAAAAGTTGCGAGGGTTGAATGATATCTGTCTAAGCAGCGTGGGTACACCTAGGCAATATTTGCTCTAGAAAGCCTCGTGAAAAGTCATTAATTGTTCTGACTGTTATAACTCTGGATAGACATTGTCATGAATTTTCTGAAAGGCCGAGAGAACTTGAAATCCATTATAACAAAATAAAAAACTGCCGTTTGCAAGCTTTTTAAAGAAAATCGCTTGTTATTCAACCTTTTGCTCTCTGGAACGACAATTTCATTATGACAGCGTAAAGAGCTCTTCAAGACTTTTTTAACGACACCAAGAACGTTGACATCGGAACAGCCTGTCAAAGATATAGGCAAAAAACAAAATGAGTTTGCAGTGGTTAAGGGTAGGGTTAGGGCTAAGGATAGGGTTAGGGTTAGTGTTTAGGTTAGGGTTAAGGGTTAAGGTTAGAGTGAGGGTTGGGGTTAGGGTTAGCGTTAATGTTAGGGTAAGGGTTAGGGTTAGGGTTAGGGTTAGGGTTAAGGGTAGGGTTAGGGTTAGGGTTAGCGTTAGGCTAAGATTGAAGGGTAGGGTTAGGGTAATAGCATATTTACGAGTTGATTATTGGTTGAACTCGTCAATGTCAGTGACATGTCACGTGGTTTTTGTTTGGCGGAGCTAGGATTAGAGTTAGGGTTGGGTTAGGGTTAGCGTTAAAAATAGGGCAAAAAAAGAAGTTGCCTTAGATAGGTCATGACGGAATTAGGTCAAACCAAATGAATGTGAAAGTGAAAGTCATAGTAAAGGTATATAGTGGAATATTTCGAAGCTCATAATTTTACTATTTATTATCGGATTAAGACGAATTTGGTGTCGTTGGAAAAGTAAGAAAACGGACAACAATTTTCAACCTCCAATATCTTGAGAATAGCATGCATTTGAAACACCGGTGCCTTGGGTAGGTACAAGACACAATACATCATCCATTCTAGGTAGATACCAGAAAACAAGTACAACAACCATTCTAGATGGGTACCAGAAACAATGAAAGAAAAAGTGAGCTAGCTCACATACCCCACGCTCCCCCAAAACTTGACGGTGAAACACATAATGAAAGGCACAGTGCTTTTTAAATACATAGTATAGATCAAAAAGGGCAATAATTGCAAACATTAAAATGTCTTACATTTGAGGACATTTAAATGTGGAATGAAGTTTCTAGATAAACAAGGGAATCAAATTTTCTTGGCATTATACAAATCTAAACATTAATTTGAAGTGGTTGGGGGGGGGGGGGTTGAGAAATTTTCTTGAATAATAGGCAAAACTCTTTGGGATAAAAGAAACTATATACAACAGTTTAAATTTCTGACAAACTGTTCATTTCCATATTCAAAATATGAAAAAGAGTTGGAAAGTGTGGAAATTCCAAAAATAATGGAATCGGAATTTCCTGGTAATATGCACATCTACACATTGTGTCCGATATCTGCAAAGTTTGAAGAAATTCTGTGCAGTGGTTTATGAGGAGTTGCGCTGACAAACTGTTCATCTCTATATTCAAAGTACACACCTAATTTAAAAAGCAAATTCTAACACCTGTAATATGCACATCTACACATTGTGTCCTAAATACCTGCAAAGTTTGACAAATTCTGTGCAGCGGTTTATGACAAATACAACAAATGCCCATTCTAATGGAATCGGAATTTCCTGGCAATATGCACATCTACACATTGTGTCCTAAATACCTGCAAAGTTTGAAAATTCTGTGCAGCGGTTTATGAGGAGTTGCGCTGACAAACTGTTCATCTCTATATTCAAGGTATGGCCAAATGCCTAAGTTAAAAAGTGCGGAAATTCCCGGAAAAAATAATGGAAAAATTTCCTGGTAATATGCACATCTACACATTGTGTCCTAAATACCTGCAAAGTTTGACGAAATTCTGTGCAGCGGTTTATGACGAGTTGCGCTGACAAAAAAAGACACAAATATACTGACTGACTACACGGGTCAAAAACATTATTCCTCCCGCAACTAGTTGCGTGGGGTATAAATATAAATACAACACTCGTTCTAGGTAGGTACCAGACACAATTACATCATCAGTTCTGGGTAGGTACCCGACACAAACACAAGTTCTAGGTATAGGTACCAGACACAAACACAACACAAGTTCTAGGTATGTACCAGACACATGGTCAAAGACTAAAATATAAAACCATAATGCTACAATTCTGCAGCTACTAAGTTGTATCAGTAATAACTTTTTCTTGATCGTTTTCTGTAGGTGTCTTCCTATTTCTGGTAATGACTCTCAACTGTATATCCCTGATAATGGCCACGCTGGTAATGAGTATTAAGAGACGATCAACACTCAAACCAGTCCCAAAAGTACCACCAATAATGTTGTGGGTCTGCAAGCAGGTGCTGGGAAAAATTACCTGTACACCGCCGGAATCTCGTTTCCATAGGTACAACCTCTGCGAGAACGATGAAGAGCCAGTAGAGACTGTTGATACAACAGCATCGTGGGCTTCCATCGATTACTTACTTCATGAATTTGAAGATGACGTAGACGAGGAAGATACGTCATCTATCCACCTTTCACCTGACGTTAACATGGAAATGTCCCACAATGGGATCGTGGCCAGTGCGTTATCCTATAGACGAACTCTCAAAAATAGACGTTCATATCGAAGAGCTATACAAAGCGAAAACGTGCCAAGTAGAAACCGAACCATTTCCCATAACCATGTGGACACGAGTTCCAATCAAAATACCACATCCACATTTAGTCCCGATTGTTCTGTCAGAAAACAACAGTGGTGCTACGTGGCTGAGACAGTAGACAAAGCGTCCTTTATTGTATACTTCGCCAGCATGTTTATCACAATTTTAACTGTTCTAGTATTCGTGCCAAATCTGCAAAACGTTAACACTTGAAAGTAGAAATACAATGTATATTAATAAATAAATTGAAGACCAAATTCCAATATATATTATATAAATCCTTATTTGTTTCTTAAATTAAAAAAAAAATGTTGCACGACAATTAGTTCTTGAGTAAAGTAAATTTTAAACATGATTTCAACATGAGGTCCATGTGCCGCGACACTCGCCGTGTGATCAACTTTTCTTGCTGTTCTTCTGACGAACACTTTTTTTTTTATCTAAGAAAGATTTTCTATACCTATATATCCCTAGGTAAAGCTTTGATTCCATCGATCTTTTCTACCAACCCTTCCCAAGGTGACCATAATTTGGACAAGGTTCAATCCGCACTTTTTAGGTCAAAGGTGACCTATTGCTATTTTTCGTCCATCGAGCGTCGTGCGTTGTGCGTTAACATTTGAACATTTTCAGCTTCTTCTCTGCAACTACTGATCCAATTTCAACCAAATTTGGCACAAAGCATCTATGGGTAAAGGGAAACAAAAATTGTGAATTTCATGATCCCTGCCCCCCTGGGGCCTGAGGGGTGGGGCCAAAACCACTAAAATTAATGCAATCTTTAAAAATCTTCTTCTTTACTCCTGGACATCAAGCAGTCAAACTGTTTGCATGATTGTAATCAGCAATGAGTCCTCTACTAAAATTTTGAAATTCATGGCCCTGGGGTCAGGGGTTCTAGTGCTAGGGCGGGGCTAAATAAGTAGGTAGTGAAAATGCATTATTTCTGTGAAAATCTTCTTCTCTGCTCCTGGGTATTAAATAAACCAACTAAGTACATAGTTATGATAAGCAAGAGTTCCTCTACCAAAATTTTGAATTTTATGGCCCCAGGGTCAGGGGTTCTGGTGTTAGGGCGGGGCTCTATTGATTATATAGTGAAAATACATTTAATCTTTGAAAATCTTCTTCTCTGCTCCTGGGTATTAAATAAAGTAACTAAGTGCATAGTTATGATGAGCAAGAGTGCCTCTACCAAAATTATGAATTTTATAGCCCCAGGGTCAGGGGTTCTGATGATAGGGCTCTATTGATTATATAGTGAAAATACATGAATTCTTTGAAAATCTTCTTCTCTGCTCCTAGGAATTAAATAAATTAACTAAGTACATAGTTATGATGAGCAAGAATGCCTCTTCCAAAATTGTGAATTTTATAGCCCCAGGGTCAGGGGTTCTGGTGTTAGGGCGGGGCTCTATTGATTATATACATGTAGTGAAAATACATTTAATCTTTGAAAATTTTCTTCTCTGCTCCAGGGTATTAAGCAGATGAACTACCTATATTGTTATGATGGACAAGGGCCCTAATCTTCCAGAATTTTGAATTTTAAGGCCCCATCAGGAGTTTTTAATGGGGGGGGTATTTGAAATCTGCTCCTTGGTATTAATCAAATATCAAGGCCTAAGGGTTAGAGGTTCATGTGTGGTAGGGGCACTACTGATTATTGCTGAATATTACTGATTGTATTGTTATGATGATCAATGGTGCCTCTTTCAAAATTATGAATGTCATAGCAACTGGCTTAAAACATGAATCAAATTCAATCACTGAAAGTTTCATAATCAAAGTGACCATAAGGCCCATGGGCAATACCATATAGAGAGCATGACTTTAGAGCACATCCCACTTTCATTTCTAATAGTAGCATTAGGACATGCATACTAGTATTACAGTCACGTTTTTGAAAAGGGGAGCATCCAATCCATAGGGGTGGAGGGTTGAAGGGGTGGGGTTAGGTTCCACCTCTTTTCAGAACCAATATCTTTTTAATGAATTTCTTCATGGTCCATATAAGACTTCATAAGACTTTGCTGCAAGAAGGATATAGAGATAACGAACAGTATTCAATATCAAAGTCCATAAAACAGTACCAAATAGGAGCAGAGCAAACACGGACCTCCGAAACATCCGAGGTGGGATCATGTGTCATGGAGGAGTGAGCATCCCCTGCTGTGTGTGCTCATTGTTATGATCGGGAAAATAACGGGAAAATCCATCGTCAATTCATTGTATAAGTAATGGACTAATAATTAGTATGAAAAACGCCAGTCAGCTTTTGACTAAATGATAAATTATATTTGCTGACAAGGTCATTGTATCGACCAAAGAACTTACAAAATGATTACTTTAAACAAAACTGCTGTTATTTTCGTTTCATCAGCTTGTTTGTCACTAATTTAACTCTTTTGAGAAATTGTTCATACGTAGAGCATGCTCTTGCGTATCGAATCAACTGAGATATACCCTCAGTATACACTCCGTATGCAGGTGATGAAGGTATATTGCTGCATAAGTAAGGGAAGTTGACGATAGAAAAGTTAAAGTCGTCACGTTTATCATATAACTTGGTTGGTTACTATTAACGTCTTTTTCAAGTAAAATATCCAAGTATGAAACAGATGTGTCAGACTCTGTGGTATCTTTTATCTCAAGCTCTCCTGGATATATCGTATCGATGTAGGGATGGAAATTACGATTGTTGATTGACAATACGTCGTCGGTATATCTGAAGGTCGAGTTGAAGGCCACAGCAAGTGTTTTCTTCTTTTCACGCATAAGATTTTGCATAAATTCTGCTTCATATGAATACAAATATAGGTCTGCTAATAACGGAGCGCAATTGGTTTCCATGGGAATTCCAATAGATTGTTGGAAGACCTGGTCTCCAAAAACCACATAGATATTGTCAATCAGAAACTCAATCATCTTTTTAATGTCAACTTCAGAGTACTTGTATGTGCAATCAGAATCCCTTTTAACCAAATAATTTTGCAAATGACCAATGACCAGGTAAGTAAATATACGAGTTCCATTTTTATTGAAAAAGCAGCTGTCAATGATATTAAAAAGCCTGGATTTTAATTTATCGTGGGGAATGGTTGTGTATAAAGTTGAAAAGTCGTAAGTTTTTATGCTGTTGATTTTGGTAAAATCTTGTGATTTCAAATTGTCCAAAAGTTCTTTGGAATTTTTTTAGTATCCACATCTGATTCACACCACTTCTTGAATATATACTCTTGAAGTTTTTCCTTCACTACTGTCAATATGTTAGTGAGGAGTAACGAAAGAGGCTTGGTTGAACATTTACTGGAACCCGCAATGTATCTTTGTTTGTAAGGATTCTTATGAAGTTTCGGAATCCAATATATATAAGGTAGTTCAAATTCATTTTGGCTCTGTGGAATATTAAAAATATTCAAAACTGACATATGATTTTGAAGAATTTCTTCCTTAGAAAGGGAAGAATGAGTGTAAGTAGGATTACCACTTGTAGAATTAAATCCAAGTTCTTCTATACAATTAATACAATTTATATAATAACCTTACAAACGAAGACATGTTTTTACCTGCTTTGTCGGCAGGGACCAGTACCTACTGATCATGTAATCTATCTAATTCTTTTTTCACTTCTGGTTTATTGAACACAGAAGGATAGATGGTTTTCATATTGCCCCTCAATCTTATAATACGTGACTTTAATATGAATCTGATACATTTAATCCATTCTGACAAGGTGTCAACGTCTTCTTTTTCATACCTGGCCCATCGTCTGGCGTAATTTTCAACAGAATCCATAATATTCATGAAATTCTGATGCCAGTTGAAGGATCGGGGTTCATTATATTTGGGACCTTTTAAAATAAGTGATCTAAGATCCTCATTCTTAACTATATTGACGTCACCTGTAATAACGTGTCCAGCAGGACTATAGTTATAGGGTAAAAAAGAACATGAACACGGTGGAGGATTATGTTTCAGATGCTCTGTATCCAGGCCATGTAAAGTTTTTTTGTAATTAAAGGGGAGAGGCAACCGGCCTTTCAATAAATATTTTCAACCGTTTAAAAAAAGTGGAGAGCCAACCAACCAAAACCCTGATGCAAAATGCCTGTGTTATACAAACCAAAGTCGCCAAACAGGTCTTGACCAACCACCAGGAATTAATGCTGATTATTATCATCCAGCAGCCACAGCTATCAGTTTTGGTGATTATCAATTTTGACCCGATTGTCAGTCACAAAATAGCAGCATAACTCTCAGTTTTGGTCTGATTGTAAGCCATGACATAACAATTCACCTCTAAATTTTAGTCTGAATCTAAACCACGAAATAGCAACACTTCTCTCAGTTTTGACATGGTTGTAAGCTTTGAAATAGCAACACGGTTCCTGGTTTTAGTCCGATTATAAACTACAAAGAACAGCACAACTCTCAGCTTTTTGGTCTGACTGTAACCATTGAAACAGAAGTACACACAACTCTCAGTATTTGTCTGATTGTAAGCCATGAAATAGCAAAATAACTTCCTGTTTTTGGCTTGATTGTAAGCTGTGAAATACTAAGTAGCAACACAACACAATTTAGTCTGGTTGTAAGTCATGAAATAACAGCTCAGCTCTCAATTTTGGTCTGATTGTAAGCCAAGAAATAGCAGCATAACTCTCAGTTTGACTTGATTGTGAGCCATGAAAAAGCAACACAACTCTCAGTTTTGGCTCGAATGTAAGTCATGATATAGCAACATACATGTAGCTCTCAGTTTTGGTCTTATTGTAAGCCACACAAGAACGGCACAGTATTTACTCCAGTAATTTAATCTGGTTGTTATCCATGAAATAGCAACACAGCTCTCAGTTTTGGTCTTATTGTAAGCCACAAAAGAAAAACGCAGTATTTAATTTAGTCTGGTTGTAAGCCATGAAAAAGCAACACAACTTTCAGTTTTGGTCTGATTGTAAGCCATGAAATAGCAACAAAACTCTCAGTTTGACATGATTGTTATCCATGAAATAGCAACACAACTTGCAGTTTTGATATGATTGTTGTCTATGAAATTGCAACACAACTTTCAGTTTTGGCCTAGTTGTAAGCCACAAAAGAAAAACGCAGTATTTCATTTAGTCTGGTAGTAAGCCATGAAAAAGCAACACAGCTCTAAGTTTTGGTCTGGTTGTAAGCCATGAAAAAGCAGCACAACTCTAAGATTTAGTCTGGTTGTAAGCCAGTTTTGGTCTGCTTGTAAGCCATTAAATAGCAATGCTGCTTTCAGTTTTGGTTTGCTTGTAAGCCACAAAAGAGCAACATTATTCTTAAATTTGGCCTGATTGTCAGTCACAAAATAAATTCACTGTCAGATTTGGTCTGATTGTAATGCATAAAATAGCAACACAGTTTTCATTTTTGGCTTGATTGCCAATCATAAAATATACATACAACACTCAATTTTTGGCCTGATTGTAAACCACATCATCAACTCTACATCTTTGCTATTGATTGTCAGCAAAAATATAGCAGCAAAGCATAATTCTGTAACTTTACAGCGAATTTCAAAACTCAAGTCTTACAAAGTGAAGTTTCTGTAAAGAAATTCAAAAACAACTGTAATTTTTTTCTAAAAATGATTTTTTTTATTGCATATACATATCCTCTAAACAAAAATACCATGATTTCAAGATGATATACTTTTCTATGAATATCATGAAAAATGGCACATAAAACTAAAACAATTCTATCTGTAAAAAGAAACAAGTTTACCTTCTAGGTGATTTAACCCTATCAAGCACAGTATGAGGGGAATATTAATTATGTCAGAAAAATAACACTGCATGTCAAGAAAGAACTATAAACATGAACATTGCAATCACAACCTACATTTAATCTTCTGCCACTCTATAAGTCACTCCAATAGATGAATTGTCAAACTCTTGCAAATAGTGTTTTACAAATGGACATAAAAATATATATGTGTACTTCTAATACTTGACAGAGAGTCTTGGATACATGTATTTATGATTGTTTTATTTTACCGGTATATTAGAGTCACATGACAATTGATGTACCTACATCTAAATGAAACCTGACATCTTCCTGATGTCAAACTTCTAAACGGTAACATGCAATATCAAATAAATTCTATCAAAGAAATTCAATTCTAACAAGAAAACTTTCAGAAAAAGGAAAAACCTCTGTAACACAAAAGAAAAAAAAACTTCAAAGAAATTTTGATTAAAGTACCTAACCATCATCTGACTGCTGTGTGTTGGTTTAAATTTGAATTAAATTTAATCATGATTATTTTCATATATTCTATCAAAATAAAATCAATTTTTAGTCCATTTCAAAAACTATATTACCTTAATCTATAATCATGAATTTATTCAGCTGTGAAAATAACTACACAAAAAATAAAACTATATCCCCATCAGTCTTTGATAACAGGGACAAAACGAGACAATGTACACAGTACTCTTAATGTTAAGTAAATGAAATCATCTGTTGGAGTATTTTGGTGCAAGTTATGAAAAAGTGCCAAGAAAAGAAAAATACTGATAATTCATAAAATGAAACAAAATATACCATACATTAACAATAATACCTGCTGTTATAGGTGAATCAAATGTGAATGATAAACAAATGGTTAAAAGTGATCAATGTAAATCCATCAAAATAGGCATAACAGTTCAACCACACAAGTAAACTTTCTACTTAATCCAATTCTTGGCCTGATAAAATCACAAATACCAGTAAAACGTTTCTACATTAGAAGTCTAGTACAATGCATACATTGGATTTCTTAAAGCTGATGAATTTCACATCACAAAGTATTTACATATATGAAACAGATACCATTTGCTTAGTTGAAATCATACATCATGTCTGGTTGGGATGTTGTTTAGCTGATACATGCTTAAATGTACCATAGGTTTTGACAAAAGAAAAATACATCATTTTCAGATTAAAATGATAGTGAAATAGTTTTATTGTAAGCAACCAATATTTAGAAAGTCTGACACTTCTTAAGATTGGTTCATTACAACTAGAGTTAATCCATGCAGACTCAGATTTTACATGAGATGTACTCCATTTTATATGTTCCTTTTAGAACTAACAGAGGCCTTATCATATGATATTTACTACACAGAATCTCAAAGGATAACTAGTAACCATACACATTGTACATGTGTTTTTTTTTAAATTCAAAATGTCCATAGCCTTTAGGCTTGTTTTAAACTTATACAGAAATTAACAGAGCAGGGGGAAAAGCTACTTAACTGTGTTGTGCATATTACTTTATACAAGATTCCCAAACTATCTACACTGTACACATGGTCACTGTCATCGGTCAGATGACATACGGGCCTGTTTTTCTGGGGGTCCATCGTCCTCCGATGACCCCCCTTTGTCTGGGGGCGATGTGGGTTCTGCTTTGACATTTTTCCCGGCTAGCTGCATTTGGAGTGCCTGAGCATGTGATAATGGTATCAGCACATTCTGGAAGTTACTGGTGGGGGTTAATCCACTGAAAATTTACACATAAAACATCATTAAAAAAGAAAAAAAAATTATTAGCAATAATAACCAATAAAGATATTGTTATTATAAGATTCTGTAAATGTGCTAAAAAATCAAATATGAATGCACATGTATGGTTTCAACACCCCACCCCCTTTTCTGACTGACATTCACTTGACAACTTTTATAAATTAAATCATCAAAGAATCTTCAGATACTCCCAGAAAACACACATGGAGCCTACTCTTTCTCCTACCTTGGTGTTAGTGATATTCCTGATGCCTGCACAGCTGCAGTTAAGGGACCTTGCAAAGCATCACCTCCTCCAAAGGCCGCTGAGCCCAGTAGCTTTTCTAAATCAGCACTATTTATCTGTAAGTTACCTGTAAATTTAGACAGGAGTATTCGTTAAGTCAATTGAAAAAAAATTCCCTTTAAAAAGTATCTCCTTTCCAGAACATGATGTTTTGGGAAAATATTGAATTTATACAAATATCAATCTAATTAGAATAAGATCTTTGATCCGCTCCAGTTTGATCGCTACACACTTTGTGTAGCGATCTTGAATGATAGTGAATGGGAAAAAGTTTTTTCATTTCCTTTTAAGCTCACAAAAGATACAAAACTTCAGTGGTTTCAGTTCCGAATTAATCATGAAATATTAGCAACAAATTCCTTTTTACATAAAATATATCACTATCAGCCCAATTGTAGATATATAGAGACAAGTGTTTTATACTCTAGTTCTCTATATCACAATTCTCTGTATGCTATGACTTACTGGGTAGGAGAGCTGAGGGGAGGACCGAGGCTAACTGTGTACTGGGGGTGGCCTGAGAAACCTGTGGTGTGTCCAGGGAGGTGGATTGTGTTTTAGCAGCTGACGTCTGTAATAGAAAGCTACATGTCAATTTTAACAAATACTTTTCCTTTTGGTAGTTCTTATTAGCCAGCTTTCAGTACATTATTTTGAATTAAATGTCATAATATAAAAACTATCACAATCCCAAAGTTCACTTTGAGCTTTTTAATATCAAAACCATTCTTTTTACTCTAAATACAAATTTAAGACTGATGTTTATCAGCATGTTATAAGAACTATACTCTTACATCTGTTTTTGGTGGAATGACAACTCGAAGATTTGGTTTTCCTTTTCCTAATCCAAAGTCCATTTCCTTTGAGGCTGTGTTTGGAGACAAATCCGGGGTCGGTTGGGTGGGAGACGTTTTTGTAGCAGTCACTGGGGGTGGGGCTTTAGCAGCTATAAAAGAATCATATCAGTCATCAACAACTGAGAGCATTTCTCATACAGGGTATAAATATATAACATAACAGATTATTCCTCTAATCTACATATATCAAATGACTAAAGAAATAATTATTCAAGATTTTTCACTTAAAAGAATCCAAATCTTGAGCAGAAGTAATATTTTCAAATTGTTGAATGTTACTACAATAACTTCATGTACAATAACATGTACTTCATAACATATCAACTTTCTGTAACTTGCTGTATGAAGAAGCAATCTCAAGTTCAGTTTATTCACTCAAACCAAAATATTGGTACATGATAAACTTTTGACGGTTGATCTCATGGTAATTATTCATAACTCTCTAGTATGACTGTTACCTGTTGTTTGTTGGATGGAAGTGTGTGCGACCGGGGGCTGCAGGAGGACCACTGATCCCCCTGACCCCTGCTGCTGACTGGTCTGAGGAAAGGATCCTCCCTGTACGGGGACAGACACTGGCATGGGCTGCTGGTATAATACTGGCTGCTATAAGCAGAAAAGTACAAAATAGGAATCAAAAAGAATGAAATACAGTGGAGCTTCATTTATCCTGACGCTTTGGTTCCTAGTCAATTTGTCCAGTTATGTGAGGCGTCCGGATACCTGAATCACAAGTTAAACAAGACAAAATAACATTTAAAAATTCGGTTCCAATGAAAAATCATCCGGATACTGAAGCATCCGGATATCTGGCATCGGATATCTGAAGGTCCACTGAAGGTCAAGTCTAGACTGCTTTTTAAAAAGTTTATAGTCAAAACCAGTCCCAGTTTACTAATGCATGGAATTGCAGAATTTTAATATCCCAACAAAGTCCTTAGTTGAGCTTTTAGCTCAGAAAAAGCTTAGCTAAGCTCAAATCTAAAGCTTACAACAGCCCAATCAAAATCAAGGCATTTTCCTCTAAACCATTCAGCATAACAATAAGCTTACTTTGGTTGCCCCTCCGGACTGCATCACCCGTGCATACTCCTGGTCAATTCTGCGGTACCTGTCCTCTGTGTTGGGGGTCAGGTTATAGTCATCATCATCATCCCCACCTTCACCTTTCACATCTTTCTTGTTCAACATCTAAATAAACATTTAACGGTAATATAGCTAATGCATATTTTAAAAAAAATTCTACGAAAACATAGCATATACATGAAAGAAAAGTTCTTTCAAAATCTGCCAGTACATGTACTTTTACCTGATGGAAATCATGATTGTTCTGCCAAAACTACTTGCTAGATAAAATTTATTACACATTTATTTAACAACTGCTTTCACAAAGTACCTCCTGTTTTCATAAAAGTACATGTATCACTTGTTTCAAATCTTTTTGAAAGCCAATTTTATTCATTACCTACATAGTTTAAAAAAAGTTTTCTATTGCAATGCAGCTGTAGAATTTTACCTCCAGTATATCCTTGTTGGTCTGACTGACCACTGTGTCGTTATACTCAGTGTACTTGAGTAGGACCTTGTCCATGTCTGAGCTGGCATACTGGTAAAGCTTGTTGTTGGATGTGAAAATGATGAGAGCTATCTCACAGTCACAAAGGACACTCAACTCGTAAGCTTTCTTCATCAGGCCAAATTTTCTTTTTGTGAAGGTCACCTGTCAATAAATATTGAAACATTTTGTTGAGTTACAGAAGCTTTCTGACTCTGAGCTGAATTCCTATCAAGAGTAGCAAAATTTTTCTTCTGTTTATCAGGTGATGGTTGAGAGGGGTTTCAGTGGTAGAAATCAATTTTTTGTTTACTCTAGAACTCAACTTTATAAAACTTATTACTTTTTCTTAATTATCAAGTAGAGAATCTTATCACTGAATTTCCAAGAAAAAAAAAATCATGAAAATTGGAGCAATATCACATTGTTTCATTAATAAATTATCTATCTCCCCCTTTTGACAATACAGGTGTTACATTTTATTATTTCTTCAAGAAGTTATTTCAACCTCTTGACATATTTTAACCCTCCCAATTTACCTATGTTCTACATTTTAATGTAACCATTGCTTTTTGTTTTGAGGACATACCTGACGATTTCTTTCATCATTAATTCTAGTAATGGAAATTTTCTTCCTCCCCATGGTCACTTTTTTCAGTTCTTAATTTGTATGCAATTTTGGAAAGTTTCTGAAATTTAAAGTACATTTTAGTTTAAAAAAATAGAAAACTGAGGTGTCAATTTTTTCCACAAAATGTATTGTTTATCATGTGTCCAATATAATGAATGAATTTGTAGACAGTCATGTTTCATTGGATACTGTGAACTCATTTGCATGAACATGATGAATGTCATTCATTCCTACATTAAACAAGGATACACATATGGTGTAAACATTCAATAGATCAACAGATACAGTAGTACACAAAGGTGTTGAATTAGGATGTACACAATTATACATAATCCATTATCATTTAAAATCCCCTTAGCATTCTTAAAATTTATATTGTTGGAAGTGCTAAAAATGCAAAACACATGATTTGAATTTCTTCAAACAAAAACTTCTTTGCCAATATTAATAAAACATTTTAAAAATTTAGAATAATTTTAATATACCATGGGGATTTCATAATATCTATTCTTAAAAGTATTGATTATTTACATACTTCTTAAATAAAATACAAGAGAAGCAACAAATAAAATATTACCCGGTTGATTACAAAAATAAACTTTTTTCTCTTATAAATACACCACGGAAACCCTGCCGCACAAAATTAGAACACAGACGCCGCCATTTCGTGGCCGTCCTATTCACAAAACGAAACTGACTAAGGTGTTTTACAAGGAAGCCATTGCAGCTGCATAATGGTGCACTGTCGGCTTTCCACTGTGATATCGAAAGTGACTATACTCAATAAACAAGTTACTCAGACAATTGTGTGCCTAAATTAAAAGATGTCAATGTAAATAAGTAGGAGGAAATATTCTATCGCGGCAATCTTATGACCCTGTGTGCTGATTTCAGCTTTTTGGGACTTTTCCAAACATGGAGAGAAATATCGCCACAAAACATTTCTCCCGTCATCCTTGGAAAAGCAAACAGACATAAACAAACATACATGTTATAATAAACAATTTAAGATAAAAACAATAACATGAGAATTTATAAATATACCAAAACGGTTGCTATTTTTACTAACCAGTAGAATCTTCGTCGTTAAAACTGTACAGTTGTGCTATTTTGGGCATGGAAATCACGATGGTATTTTTAGCTAAATTCCAATATGGCGAATATTCCGCGCAGTTTAGAAATGACGTCATGGTCAGTATTTGTTCCTATGTATTTTCAGAACATTTTTATAACCTAGATAATATAGTTGTCATTGAACTCTAATCATTTTTCGCTACTACACTGGAAAAATGTCTTTTGGTGCAAATTCGGATAAAAATAATATAATAGTTAGCGAACTATTTTCTTGATGTAGTAATATGCTAATGTGAAATAGGAACTACTTTCGTTTTTTATGTGGCGGATCAAATCGTTTTATTATTTTTTTTTTATTTATTAAAAATCGTTTTATTTTACTTGGTAATGTGGAAGTAAGATACAGATTTCATTTATAAATTTGACACTTGCAATTTGTTTATTTTCTGTGTATCGGTCTAAATATATATCGTTGATTAATTTTTTTTTTTAAAGTATACTCTTCTTTACTTTTTCATTGATTTACATTTAAAACTAACAGAAAAAAAGACACATTGCATTGTATACTTTACCTTTTTTATGTAAATAAATTTTATCAAATATAATACGTTAACAAAACTTCTAATTTCAGTGATTTTCAATTTTATCACAATTATCAATATATATTTAGAGGCGAAGTGTTTTTGGTCTGCTCCCCCCCCCTAAATTAACTAATAATTTAAAAATGGAAAGCAGAGACAACTGAAAACCCTTGGCAAGAAGACAGGATTTAGACTGACATAAAACAAGAGGCCCATGGGCCACATCGCTCACCTGAGAAGCTTTGAACATTCTGTTCTTTACCAGATTTCCCCCTTGTAATACATATTCTGACCCCACCCTACCCAACTGATCATAATTTAAACAATTTGAAATCTACACTACCATAGGATGCTTTGATTCAACATTGTAAAAATTGATTCCCCATTGTGGCCCCGTCCTACCCCCGGGAGTCATGATTAGAACAATTTAGAATCTACACTATCCCAGGATGCTTCCATATAAGTTTCAGCTTTTCTGGCCCAGTGGTTCTTGAGAAGAAGATTTTTCCTATATATTTCAATGTAAAACTTTGATTCCCCATTGTGGCCCCGTCCAACCCCCCGGGGATCATGATTTGAACAATTTAGAATCTACACTACCCCGGGATGCTTCCACATAAGTTTCAGCTTTTCTGGCTCAGTGGTTCTTGAGTAGAAGATTTTCAAAGATTTTTCCTATATATTGCAATGTAAAACTTTGATCCCCCATTATGGCCCCCGCCCAACCCCCGGAGGTCATGACTTTAAGAATTTAGAATCTACACTACCCCGGGATGCTTCCACATAAGTTTCAGCTTTTCTGGCCCAGTAGTTCTTGAGTAGAAGATTTTCAAAGATTTTCCCCATATATCTTTATGTAAAACTTTGATTCCCCATTGTGGCCCCACCCTACCCCCGGGGGTTATGATTTGAATAATTTAGAATCTGCACTATCCCAGGATGCTTCCACAAAAGTTTCAGCTTTTCTGGCCCAGTGATTCTTGAGAAGAAGATTTTTAAAGATTTTTCCTATGTATTTCTTTGTAAAACTTTGATTCCCCATTGTGGCCCCGCCCAACTCCCAGGGGTCATGATTTTGAATAATTTAGAATTTACACTACCCCAGGATGCTTCCACCTAAGTTTCAGCTTTTCTGGCCCAGTGGTTCTTGAGAAGAAGATTTTTAAAGATTTTTCCTATATATTTCTATGTAAAACTTTGATTCCCCATTGTGGCCCCACCCTACCCCCGGGGGTTATGATTTGAATAATTTAGAATCTGCACTACCTAAGGATGCTTCCACATAAGTTTCAGCTTTTCTGGCCCAGTGGTTCTTGAGAAGAAGATTTTTAAAGATTTTTCCTATATATTTCTATGTAAAACTTTGATTCCCCATTGTGGCCCCGCCCAACTCCCAGGGGTCATGATTTTTACAATTTAGCATCTACACTACCCCAGGATGCTTCCACCTAAGTTTCAGCTTTTCTGGCCCACTGGTTCTTGAGAAGAAGATTTTTAAAGATTTTTCCTATATATTTCTATGTAAAACTTTGATTCCCCATCGTGGCCCCACCCTTCCCCCGGGGGTTATGATTTGAATAATTTAGAATCTGCACTACCTAAGGATGCTTCCACATAAGTTTCAGCTTTTCTGGCCCAGTGGTTCTTGAGAAGAAGATTTTTAAAGATTTTTCCTATATATTTCTATGTAAAACTTTGATTCCCCATTGTGGCCCCGCCCTATCCCCGGGGGTTATTTTTTAGAATTTACACTACCCCAGGATGCTTCCACATAAGTTTCAGCTTTTCTGGCCCAGTGGTTCTTGAGAAGAAGATTTTTTAATGACCCCACCCTATTTTTGTCTTTTCTTGAGTATCTCCCCTTGTGAGAAGACTTGGCCCTTCATTTTCACAATTTAAATTCCCCTTCACCCAAGGACGCTTTGTACCAAGTTTGGTCAAAATTGGCCCAGTGGTTCTTGAGAAGAAGTGGAAAATGTGAAAAGTTTACAGACGGACAGACGGACGGACAGACAGACAGACGGACGACGGACAAAATGTGATCAGAAAAGCTCACTTGAGCCTTCGGCTCAGGTGAGCTAAAAATACTGAATATACAAGAAAATGAACCCCTTAAGAATTTTCTGTAAATTTATTAAAGTTCATATTCGCTAGCCCAGGGTTTTAGAGTTTGTTTTTTTTTTTGCAACACAACTTGAAAGCAAGGGATGGAAGAAATTCTTTTTAAAAATTGATGTATTTAAAAGTGAATAGAATAGCTACAAAAAGGAAAGAAATGCTTTGAAGAAATAAATACTGTAAAACAACAAAATAGTGAATATTACAACCCTTTAATTGTCATTAATCAAAACAAACTCTGAAATATTGGAAAATAAATAATGATGCTAAAATACATTGTCCTAGTATCCTCATGTTCAGAAACAATGTCTGATATGGAAGTTGACAACATATTCTGCGTTAGTTCTTTGAACACTTATGGCAAATGGTTCTCGTGGATGAAATGTGAAAGCGACTAGACGACGGGCGGTAGGAGATGGGTTTTTACCCAGCATTCCAGCGTAAATTTTAAACTTCAGTAAACCCGAATCTCTGGCATAGAACCTGCGAAAACAAATGAAATATACACATGTATTGCAAAAAAATATTTTTTAAAAAAATGGACAATCACATTAGATTTTCAACTTGTTTGCATTAATTTGGCAGTGAAGTCAAAGATGACCTGTTTAGTAAAGAACCAATCAGTGAAAACTTGACATGACATACAGTCTGATAAAATACACAGAAAAATCAAAGTACTCAGAAGTACAGAGAGCCGGGCTCATTTACAGAGTAGAATGGATTTCTTACATGAATCACGTTTATATTCTGATGAAAAAATTATTTTAAAACTATCAGTATAAATGGTAAGACACTGACAGTGAGTTTTTCAATCCTAATACCACGGTCCGATTTTGTCAGAATCAGAATTAATCTGGTACCGCAGCTGAATGTAAACACACAGGCCAGTCTGGTTCCCTCTCCTGGTTTACCTCGTATGTGTAGAGAACTACGGTAACACTGATTATCAAAAATCCTTACGCTAATGAACTATGTTCTTTGATTTATGAAGTTTTCAAAGTCATTACTACTAATGTGTATTTTATATAGATAAAACTTCGTTTTATTTTTGTTGCTTTATTTAGCGTTTGCATTATCTCAAGAGCGGTTGAGAGTAAGAACTATATTTTTGCACGTAACTTTAAAATGGCGACTATGGGGTCAACATCCTGCCTTGAACAGGATCACATAAGCCGGCAATTGCTCTTTGAGCAATAAGCCCGGCTAAAAATGGATTGGACTTCCCCTCTTCATTCTGATATATTCATAACATTAATACTGAGTTTGTCTTAGTTTGTACAGAATTTCAACTGTATTTGATATTATACAATTATGGACTTCAGTGTAGGTCTATTTATGGTTATAAGGACTCATGGCAATTAATATTGACCGAAGACGCAGAAAGTGATAGCGACCGAGCCTGCAAGGTCACTATCATTTTCTGTGTCTGAGGTCAATATCAATTGCCATGAGTCCGTATAACCACATATTGACCGTTCACTGAAGTCCATGATAGTTATATTATATAATCATTCAAACTGAATGCACTAACACAGTCCTAACTGAACGGACTTGGCTGTCATTATGTCACAATGGTTAAATTCACGCTTTTTATATTTTTGTCGTCACGAACTATGTAACTTTAGTGCAACCGAAAGGCGAGTCGTGCAATATTATTTTCCGCCGACGCGCTTTCGCATCGATATCACAAAAGGAGGAATATCACGTGACGTACTTTCAGCCAATGAAAACTACGAAAATAATCTTCTTATATAATATATATATATATAAGGTATGCCTGATGTACATGCACATTACATTACCTGATCGGGTGATCACCGCAGGCCTTAGGCCTCTCCATCATGGACACCCACTTGTCGTCATAACTGAAGAGAGCCAGGTCTAGGTAGGGACTACTGCTGTAGGACTGGGAGCTGATAGGAAGCTGAGCCAGGAGCCGCTTCACTGCCTCGGTATGACCACCAAACTTAGCATTTATTATAGTGTGCTTAAACCTCTGCTGAATTTGCCGTGCATGAATGTTGCTTGAGGCTGAACATGGGAACTGAGATTCGCTGTGCAGGGCTGCATTTCTGAACAAGTCACAGAAATTTTCAAAGAGCTGAAGAAGATTTTCGGAGGTATTTTCAAAGACAGCTAATACTTCTGT